CCTGGGACTTTTGAACCTTGAGGAAGGTTTTGGTTTAGTATCTGTATTGGCGCTTAGCGATAGTAGCAATACAAAATAGCCATCAGATGACATTACACCCGCAGGAAACTTCTGTATCTGTGTGTGGTTGTGTCTATCAGTGTGGACAAATTGCATGTAGATACAAAGCAAATATCTTAGGATTTATAACTTTACTTCCAATAAAAAGGAGCTAACAGGTTGAAAAATATCTAGTGTTAAAAAAACAAGCAAAAAAATCTGTATGCTTATTTATTCAAGGGGAGTACTGGGAGACCTAAATAGAGAGTATGCCTGAAAATAGGTAAGGAGAGACGAGATCTCTTAAAAATATGTTCAGATTTCTAAGATTTCAGGCATCTTCCTGATTACTAAAAAAAACACGTCAGTTTTCCTTATGAGGAAATGGTGGGAAGTGAAGTTATAAACCCTATGTAGATTTAGAAACAGTTATTTCAAAATTCTTTTCATAAGGTTTTCTTGGTCCAGGAGGGTAGAGTGTATTTAAAGATTTTGCAAGAATCTACAAGAGATTTCTTTTTCCCTTCCCTTCCTTCTTATTCCCCCACCTATGGACCCCACCTATGCAAAAAGATTTTGTGGCAGAGTTGACATATTCCTTGGCACCTTTTCACCTTTTTGCTAATTAGAAATGGTCTGTTTAATATCAGTAGAGGAATTATCTATATAACTTTTTGATCAACTATAAAACCTTCAAAATAGGTAGGTGGCTGGATGTTATATTTGAAGTGGTAGAAAAACTGGTTGCAGCCTGCATTCTTTCATGGCCCCAGGTTAACTGCTTTCAGTGAGAAGGAAAGAAGTTCATCCCTGAATTTGTGACTGTAACTTCTCTGGAGCTGTGATGTATTTTTGAGGTGAACAAGAGCTTTCATGCACAGGCTAGACTATCTTAAAGCAAGGAGTGCGTGACATTCATTGTGCTCTCAATGGACACTTGATGCAAGTTTGACAAGTAACAAATTTGACACCTTTAAATTGCTTTCAGTGTATTTTTTCTGTAATGCTATGTTCTGTTCTCCTGGAAGTACTGAAAAGGAGGGAATTGAAGGTAACCTCAAACTGCTGTGAATGAAGATGTAAACAGAAGTATTCATAGTTGAAAGGAAAATTTGCAGCTCTGCATTTTGCATAATATTTACAGGAATACATAATTGTGCAACCTGTTTTGGATGTGTATTAAATTGCACACAACTCTCAGACTCTCCCCCCCAGCTTCCAAGGGGCATTTGAGAGAATAGTGTTGGCACTGATACAAATCATAAATGGTGTTAATATGGGCAAACTATACCTTTGACTGATAATCAAAAAGAATTTATTCGATATTTAAAAAATTGCAAAGGAAAACTTTCTAAAATTCTGAACAGTTAGTTGAATAAATCTACCTTGTAATAATGCTGAATGATTGGGGGTTTTAATTGCAGCATCCTGTTGTTTCTCTTTAAGGAGAAAGTTGGGAGGTTTTTTCCTTTTATAAAGTAATTCTAGCCTATGTTTGACTGAATACTGTCTTTTCTAATAAGTAGTGTGACTGTGTTGTAGTGTGGTCCCCCCATTTGTTGTAAATGGGGTGTTTTTGTCACATCACAGGGCTCAACCTACTCCTGTGGGTTCATTGCTGAGGGGAACAAATTGTACACCTGGGCATGAGTTGTGGCTTTTGCTCATGTCTGGGGAAAATACTGCACTGAATCTTATGTCGTGGTGAACCTTTCGCACAGCACATTCCATAGGTCTAATGTGAATTGTTCTTACATTTTTCTGATGTTTTGATGTGTTGGAGATTTTTAGCTGAGTAACTTCTCTCTTTTTTTTTTTATTTATTTGTCTTTCCTTTCGGTTTTTTGTTTGTTTTTTTTTTGTTTTTTTTTTTTTTTTTTAAAAAATCTTAGTTTAGGTGTGAAGTGGTTGAAGAAACAGCCCTGTACCTGCAAAGCTGTTAGAGAAACACATGATAGCTGACAAACCTAAATGTTTGTCTTGTGTGTTACTGTTGTTTGATAGGACATTTTGGGTACCAGTTAAGCTTATGGTTTTATCTCAGCAGTCTCTGAGAGCCTGAGGATGTTTAATGGATGCATATTACTTTCTGGATTGCTGAAGAACTCAGACTTTGATTTTCCTGTTCTTAGAAACTGTTGGAATAGATGAAAAGATTAATTCATAGGGTAGTCTGTGGTAATCTGCACCTTTAAAAACAGCTACTTGCTCTGTAAGGCTGAATTTGTCATGCGGTAAAGTGCAATGGCTGGATCACTATTCACAGACCAGCATTCCCTGCCCCGGATAACTCCACAACACTCTACCTAATGCTCTGGAGAAAAAAGCTGAGAGCAGGTTATGATCCCTGGATATGAAGAGTTAAGACAAAAGAATACAAGCTTATTTGTCTTGTTGAAATTGTGATTTCCAGTTGCTGATAGCTTATTGATGCCAAGAATTATTTTTGAAGTGCATTTGCCAATAAAATGAGTTAAAATGGCGCCCCAAGGTACAGACTTTCGCAGTGTTTTTTTCTTATTTGCTTAGTGCAAAGTGTTTTTTCTAAACCTCAGGCTGTGATTTCCTCAGAATTGAAGTGCAAACAAGTTCAGAGCAGGTCATTATCCTAATGGAAGATGCTGAAGGAAATGCCAAGTTTTGTTGGATGTTATTAGTTGGTTCTTATAACTGTGCCATGATGACTGGCCAGGGCTGGAGAGACAAGGATTACTACCCTTTGGTGGTGTTTCTTTTGGGACAATTGATGTGGAGAAACAAAGTTGAGCAGCTAAAGAACCTGAACCAAAAAGACAGGACCATAAGGTTAACAAATCAGCATACTGCTTTTCTGGCTCCAGTATCTCATGTAGGGATCTATGAAGTGCTTTCTTCCATGTGCCTGGATACAAGAGGTCAAATGGTCTGTGGTTCACCACACAGTTTTTTCTCTTTAGAAATAGTATGGTTACAAAGATAAGATGGAGGGTCTGGCAGTGACGTGTGATTGAAAAGTAGCTGGCTGAAGCTTTAGAGTAAATACAACAGATGTTATGTTACTAGGAAAAAAAAAAAGACCTTCAAAGAACTGATCATAGTGTTGGTCTTTCAGTTCATTGAAAATGATTCTCTACCAGTTTTTACAGTAATATGATAGTTGAGATACCTGTGACACTGCTGTGTGTGGCTGTGTAAATAGTGTCCCTCTGGCAACTTGCTCTACTTGGTTCTGACTTAGATGGCTGTTTGGAAAGGCTGGGACATCTAACATATGCTATGAAATTCTTTACAAGTACAATTGGTAGATATTCCGGTGGTACAGATACATAGACTTAGCTTTCAATACAATCCCTCTTCTGTATAAGTAATGTTGATCTTCAGAGGTTGGTGATAAAATAAATGAAACACCGGTCTTATTTGTGCATTGTTACTTTGAGTCTGGTTAAATTAATAGATAAATTAAGCAAGGTCTTGACTAAATCCCATGACCATTTACCTTTAAGTAATCAACTGTTTAGATCTCTTGCAGAAAAGAACTGTCCAGGTATGACTTCAATATCCTCTGTAGGAAAAAGTATGTGTTCACAACATTCATTAGACACCTAAATTGTGCTAGGTGCAGAATACAGAAATGGAGTGCTTAAGGTTCCAGTGTGGCTGGTACAGAGAAGACAGTAACTCCATGGTTATATTCAAGTACTCTGAGTTGGATGCCTAAAGTATATGGTGTAAATTCCTGTTTAGATATTTATTTCTTCATCTTTGTTTAGTGACTGTCTTTTCTGTTGCACAATATATAAATTAAGTGAATATTTTAAGTATCATATCAATGTTATAGTAATTATGTTGCATTAAATTCTCATTTTGTGCCTATATGTTGCTCACAACTTTTGTGTTGTTTTGTTTCACTGAAAAATGGAATTTTATTATTGTCAGCACTTGGTATCTGTGTATACATTAAAGTTCACTTCTCCCTATCTCAAAGTAAGAAAAGTGTCTGTTAAAGATACCTTCAGCACATTTCTGCAAATCACTGTCTTGCAGACATGTCAAGTTTTCTACTAGATATTGCTGCTGGTGTTTACTTTTTAGTGTTAGTCCCCATGAGTGTAGTGCCAGATTCAGACAAACAAAGAGTAGCCCATATCCAAATCATAGTTTAGATAGTTTGACAGCTGTCAAATACATATTTTTTTTTCCTACCTCAATGTTACAACATATGTTGCTCTCCAGGGGAGACAAAAGCTTTCTGTAGATAACCTTATTGCGTGGCTTCTGTTGAGATGGCTGAGTGCTGCTGAACTGTGTCCTAAAAATGAATGTGGCACATAAGCATGTACAGTCACTCATGTGTCTACTGTTGGGCTCTTCCAGGATCTTTAGTGTGGTTGACAGAGCAAAAGTAGTTGAAATTGAATGCCTTTGAATGTTGTCACCGTAGCTCCTCATTCACTGTTCAACTCACTATTGTATGCCCATTCTCCTCATTAAGTGTCTGATTACTTTATTAGGCTTACCTGACACCTTTTTTCCCCAGTTATGAAGTGGTTGCCTGATGGTTTGGAGATGAACTAAAAGACCTTATCATGCTTAGAAATGAGCAACTGCCATGACAGAAGCTACAGGTTATGGCAAGGAGCTGCAGTGCTAAGTAATAAAGAATGGGCAAAGGTTTAGATGTTAGTACTAAGATATTTCAGAAGGTATAGGATTAGACTATGTAGCACTGAAAGCATGGTAGTTCTGCCAGCACTCATTAATGGAACAGAAACTTTCAGGGGTGAAAACTGCATAGAGTCAAATTCCTTCCTTATTTAACCAAAGTTAATTTGATGTTTTTATTCTTTCAATGATGATTATTTTGGAGAGAAAATTTAGTCCATTGCTTTGATTGTTCTACATAGAAGGGTTATTTTCAGCTACAAGTGTTAAATCTGTTTAATTATTCTTGTTTTAATTAGTTCTTATTATTGTCTTGAAAGGGGCTGACAATATCAGGAAATACTGGAGTCGTTACTACCAAGGATCCCAAGGGGTAATATTTGTATTAGACAGTGCCTCCTCTGAAGATGATCTAGAAACCGCTAGGAATGAACTGCATTCTGCTCTCCAGCACCCACAGTTATGTACTTTGCCGTTTTTAATACTGGCCAATCATCAAGACAAGCCAGCAGCTCGCTCCATACAAGAGGTATGTTAACATGGCAGCATCTTGCCTGTTTGTATTTACTATCTGCACACCACTGACCCAGTATTACTTACTACCCTGACATCCTAGTTAAGAACTGGCCTCAGTTACTCTTTGTTGTAAGTACACAGACCAAGAACAGCCCCAGCCCCTAAGAACATAGTCCAATGCACTCTATACAGGCTTAGTTGTTCTGGAAAACAGACAAGTAATACTTGGATACAAACAGTTCTCCTGCTTTTACCATATTTTGCTTAAGGGAGAAAAGACGTTTTTAAACTACTTTTATCAAAAGCTGCTGGGACAGTGATTTTTTTGTTTAGCTTGTTTTCTTATTTGCTGTTAGTTTTAATCTTGCACTACCCCATTACTCCATTGTTTGCAACTGCTTAAAGCAATAGATTGCAGCCATAGGTTATCTTTTATGTAAAAGGTTTTTTTTTTCTGAACTGCTGTGTACTGATGTGAGGGCAGAGTTGCAATTCCTGTTCTAAAGTACTTAACTTGTTCTGATTTTCTTCTTTTAAGGAGTAATGTCTTTGTCTAATTTGTAGATATCACATAGTAAATTATATAGTTGTTCTATTCAGTATACCTTTTGCTCTTGAGTATCTGAAAAATTCATTTTACCGACATTCCTATCATGTCACATACTTTTGAGGAAATGCTGAAAGTTACCGATGCTTCATGAGAAGCTCTACTTACTCTTCTGAAGTTTTAGGAAGAAGTTAAAATTTGGTTGTGTCATTCTGTTCATAAATGTCATTTAAAGGACTCTTCCTATTAAAGATTTTATGTGAAATCTCCTGTTTGCTCTGTGAGTGGTGGTTTCTATTACAGCAGAGTGAGAACTGTTTCATCACCTTCCTGAGTTGCTGCTTTGTATTTAAACTTGTTGCTTTCTTAGATGCCCTTCTTTGTCTAGAATATGATCTTTCTGAAGCATGCCAATTCAATTCAGTGCAAAACTTACTGATCTGTAGGATCACTGCTATTTTTTCAGTATAGTTGTATGCACTTTCTGTACTGCTTTATTGCTATTTATGCCTCCTTTCTTAGCCAAAAGAAACAGATGATAAAGAGTTAATCTTGTTATGTGTTAAGAAGGAGAAATGTAAATGTGACTGGAGTATAGTGATGTTTTTAATTTGAGAGGAGAGAATAAGTGAGAACTGTGTAAGCTACACTGTAAAATGTTTTATTAAATTGTTAGTCCTTTCCTGCAAGAATCTGTGCTTAGGAAAAAGGAAAAAAAAAAAAACGGAGGGGTGGAATTTGGATTTAGTATACAGAGTTACATAAAAAGGTAAACTGAAATGATGCAGGGATAGAATCTGTGCGTTCTAGGTCTTGTTAATCTAAAAACAGATTCAGGAAGAAGTAATGAATATTTAAAGGAAATGTAATATGGATTTTTATATAGCAGTTTATTAATTTCTTCTAGTTTATTGTGCAGCTTAAAAGCAAAGCATGTAAACCTTCCGCTTAGAAAATGATAATAACCTGAGACAAAACTGGTTTCATTTTGTTCATCCAAATATACTTAAGGTGTTTTGATTTTTACTTTTTTTCGCAGAGCATTATAGATTACAATTTCCATAAACACAGATGCTTTTTTCCCATGATTTAAGTATTTTTTATTTTACTAATTTTTTCCTTTTTAAAATAGCCAAATTTAGTTTAAAGTTAGTTGAGGATTTTGATTATAAGTATCATTTAAGAAATGTTCCTTGTCTAGTTTCTTAAGAATAGTGAATACAATGGCACTTAGTTTCCTTTACAGAAAATTACACATGTAACTCTCCATTTTGCAGTTGAGTCCTCGTGGATAGACTTTTTGGCCTGAACTGAATATTTTCTGTATTTAGAGTTAGTATTTCTTCTCTTTTATTGACAGTACTGTCATTTTCTCCTCATCCATCATTACCAATTGCTTGATATGTCAGTAGAAGATAGATGTTTATATGCTTACAATAGCATTTAAGTATGTTTCTACTGCATGGTCTTTTAAGAAAAAATCTTTTGGTGTCTTATCATAGCAAACAAGTCTTGATTGCTACTTGAGTCTGTATGAAATGCTGAGTACAAGATTTTTGTTAAATGTGCAGAGCTTATGCATATTTTCAGGAAAAAAACCCACCTGTGTCAAGAGCAGAGTGTATGTCTTTGAAATACTTTATTTAAGAATAGTGGAAAACAAAATTGCAAAAAAAAAAAAAAAAAAAAGGAGAATAATGTCACAAAGTTGTTACTTTGTCCCTGAAAAAATGATGTCCTGTGTTTGCTGTGTATGCAAAATGGAAGCCTTATTTGGTCAATTTTGCTGATGTTAAAATGCAAGTTTCTTGCTTTCCTAAAGGCTTTTCTGTTCTACTGTCCTCATTATTGAGATGTGAAATGAAAGTAAAATGCTGAATCATAGGACGATTCCTTATTTCAAAAAGACCATATTTAAGGATTTAACAAAAATAATAAGTTGAGCATTGAGAGTTTTATTAGGCATTTTAGCAGAACTAAGTCCATTAATTATGTTTCATTGCTTTTTTTATATGTCAGAAGACAGATGAATCACAGTTGAAATGTAGAAGTATGTATGTGTTCTTTTAGGCAACAAATTGCCTTTCTTTAATGGATATGAAAGGACTCCTTGGAGTATAATTAAAGAAAATGTCTGAGTTGAGTGGTGTGTAGGAATTGTAAAAAAATATCTACAACAAAAATCCTTCACAAAACTGTACAAGTGCCAAGCAGTTTCTGCAACAGATGTTATATTTATTGTTGGGAAGTGCAGTTGCTTCAGTTTTTCGAAATTTTATATTTTATTTTAATGTGTTTTGTCCATGCATTGCTTAGGTAGAAATGATATTATAGAAGCTACGTGCTGTAAGAATTAAACAATGTCATGAATAGTTCAGTTAGAAACTATAGTGGCTATCTGTAAGAACAGCCGAATAACTTGTTTAATTTATAACATGTGATTTAACCTAATTCATTTTACAGGCATGATTGGAGAATATACTTCATATTATTGAAGTGATAAGGAAAAATTACAGGAGAAGCTAAGTTGAAATGCTAATCAGTAAATGTAATCCTTTCCTATGTTCAGGAAACTGGCTGTTTCCTAGCTTTTTGATTTTAAAATTAAATTGACAAAGTAAATTTGACGTTTCATTCTAGAAACTGTAAATGAAGATGTAATTTTAAATATTATGCCTCTTATTTCTCTTATGTCAACTTCTCTGGTGTTTATTCCACGTTCCTATATCAAAGATATTTGTAAGGGTTTTTTTGTTGTTCCTGTGACAGTAGCACATCTTTAAGTGTCTTCAAATAGCTGCTAAGTGATTTCAGCTGAGCCATGCTGAAATAAAGACTGTGTGTATTAACCAGACTGTAAAACTCAGACAATTGTATTTGAGTCAATAGGTATGCTGCAAAATATTTAGATTAAAATAGCACTAATGAAGAATTAATGATATGTAAGTCAGTTCTGACTGCCATTCTGGAAACCTTCTGAAATTACTAAATAAAAAGATTTACAAGTGAAAAATAGATTTAGTTACTCAGCTGGGAAGATGATGGCATATCAGTTTGGCCACCGTTTCCAAAATACAGGATGCAATTCTAAACCAGTATACCTAATTATGTATTTTTTTAGTAAATATCTTGCTAATGGAGTGTGCTTTTGGTTTTCCATCACAAAAGTGCTTTTGATTATAACAACTGTTTTTGATTAGTCAGATTTCTGTTACAGGCTTAAAATATTACAGGAGATTTATGGTGATAAAAGCACTGTAAATTGCTTTACAAGGGAAAAGCAGCATTACTATGATTACCAGCTTGTTGATTTTTATTTTGCAGTGTATGCTACTTTGTGTAATAATATTGGAAGCTGGATATTGCAGTGGATTCCTGTGATCTGAACTAGTATGCAAACTGCGAGTTGCTTTCCTCCCAGGCCAGAGCAATATTTAGGAGTCACAGATATGATGACTTGGAAGTTGCCCATAGACACTATTTTAGGAACAGGCTATGCTGAGCAAAAGCTCATATGAATCTGTTGAGGACTTCTGGAACTCATGTAGGACTGGCCAAAGGAGAAACCCAGTCAAACCATGAAGCTTTGCTCGTTCAGTGGTGAAGCAGCTATGTGTTTGGCAGTGTGTTGGTTTTGGAGTTTCTTCGGTTTTTGTATTTAAGGCTGTTTTCAAGATTGCAGTTGTAATAGATGATCATTGTAGGCCCCTTCCAAATGAACTATTCCATTCTAAGATCATATATGTGAAAACATTTGTGTAACCTTTTGGTGAGTTTTCTTTTAGTTATCCAAAACTGCAGGTGATTAATAAATTCATTTCATATGTATGAATTGCTGACCCCTAGTACCAGGGGAAATAATTGAAGATACGTTGCAAAATCTCATTTTAAAAAATGCTAGAACTTTTAATATAGACTTACTCATAGACAGTGAAACAAAAGTCTTCTCAGTCTATTTTAAGATTATCTTATCTTTTTAAATATTGTTGTCAGGAAAAACAATGGTGAAAAGTTTATGTAGTGCACCAATCACAAGTGCTTTTCGCTCTTGCATGCAAGATCTTACTTTAAAGTTGTGGTACTGATGGGCATATGAAACTCCAGAGGAAAGTCTTTCCCATTTTCCTTTTTTCTTTGATAGAGTAAGATTAAAAATATCTTTGAATTACAAACAACATTTTCAAAAGCAAGTGTGAAAGGTTGATTCCATGTTTGCATAGATTGTGATGTATTTATCTATTTGAGAATATTTTAAAGCATTTGGGCTTTGAATTACAGACAGTGTTTAATTTCGTTTACTGCTAGCAGATAAGTGCAGGATGACTCTCCTTGTGAAAAGAGCCACCTTAGGGATGTGAGGGCTAGTGTCTGTTACTCTGCCCATTTCTTCTCTGTTGTTTATATCTGGAAGTAATTTTGTAGATAAACAGTGTCATCTTGATGCGTTAAGTGTCTTAAAGGTAAAT